TCACACTTTGTGCCTCAGCCAGTTTAGTCTCTGCTGCAATTTTTGCATCGGCCAATTTTGCATGCATCTCATCAAATGAACTTTTTTTTTTGGATAAGTACTCATCAAATGAATTTTCAATGTACATAAGTTCGCCATATTAGAAATCATGACAAGGACCATACACATCATAAAAATAAAAGGGAGAACCTTACAAAATAATGCATTTTTAGCAAATTCTTTCTCAATTCCGATAACATGTTTCAAACTATCTTCCCGCTTTCTGGGATCTGCCAAATTAGATGCATGAGTTGCCTTTTCATGCTTAAACTTCAATTCAGCAGATTCAGCAGCAATTTTAGCTTGTTCGTAAATGGAAACCACTCATTTTCTAGAATGAGAAGGCCTATGTGATGCTGATGGTCATATAGCTACAAATCAAGTACATCAACTTATAAGTAAATTAAAATCTCAACACCAAACATGTAAAACATAAATAACATGCAAAATTCAGGAAGCTTTTGTTAATAAAAAGTCCCTAACAACTTTTATTGCCAAGATCAAAAAGTATACTTATACGTAAATAAGTAACTTTTTTAACTTGTAACAAGAAAAATAGCATGTCTAACTATATTAGGCAGAAAAACTTTTTTAAGCTTAGTCAAACATGCTTTAAGTAAAGCAATGAAGTCATTAGATGCTTACCATAGTTACTATGTGAATAAATTCATTATAATTGATCATGCCACAATTTCCATAAACGACCTGCTTTATCAGCTCAATAAGTGAATGACATTAAAATGAAAATACAACATAACTCCTTCTATTCTCCTCTCCAATAAAAGTAACATGAAAATGCTATGCAATGATTCTTTAGCTATATTCTAGAACTAACGCCATGACTGACAAAAGATTTTATTTGCATGCATATTGTGATTCACATATGTACCACAATTACTAAAATTTTATGAGAAGATTACCTCAAGAATCAGAACTATCACCATCATAGTGCAAACATTGCCATCAACGTTTACTTTATGATGCCTAACTTGCTCAAGTAATTACTGCACGGACTCAGCACAATAGACCAAACCACCATTTGCTGTCCCCCGAAAATCAAATGAATCTTTCACTTCCTGTAAAAGCAAAGAAATCTAAATGAAAACCACAAAGTTTATCAAAGATCATAGTAAAATTGCAAGGCAATAATGACTCATATAGTCAACCTCAAAAAGGACATTAACACCCTTTATCTCTTTAATCCAATCAAAGAGAGACATTTTCTTGAGAGAAAATAAAATATCATTCAAATTGCAAAGTAAAAAATTTATAATTAGTCATTGAACATTTCCTCTTATAATTGCAAACAAAATATTACAAAAAAAATAATAATAGTAATCATTTGCAATTAAATTAATTTCCAATCACATAAACTCCAAGTATTTCTTCAATCAAGAAGTAAATGAAAAAAAAATAAATCAAACAAGCAATCTAACTTTTGGGCCACTCTGCAACAATTCTATCCTTAAGCATTTTTTTTTTTGACAAATCAACAATTTTGACACAGAAAGAGACACCCGTGGTTCAACATTTTAGTCCGTTTCAAATTGGGCCAACAATCTTACACATATTGGTTCGTTTTGATAGTCGCCCTTAGCCCATAGGTCCCTGCGGCTTGTGGCAGTGGCACCAATAGTATATAGTACCCCGTCCCAAGTGAGGACGTCACAAATTCCTAGGACATCAAAATTTAATTCTGACAGCATTTCTTCCAAATCCCTCATCTCTCCCTCACTCCCAACATCTTCACCTTTTATTTTCTTATGACTCTCGTTATTACTGCTATTAATATTAGCCTTTGAGACTTCATTTGCATTTATAGAGTACAACTGACTGTTGGATTGCGGAGGAGATATTTTCTGAACCATCAGATGGAAATTTTGGTTGATCGGCTTCATTTACTTCAAATTAACAGAAGACTGTTGCTGGTGATGATCCACAGTGCCAGCGAAATCCCCAAAAATGCATCGAGACGAGTAAAAAACCATGAAATTTAAACAAAATCGACCTTACCTTCCTGGTAGCAATGGAAGAAGCTGTTGCTGTGACAGCATAAGAAGCATCGCCACAAATGAATGAGAGAAAGCGATAACGACATTTGTTATTAGGTGATGAGGAAAAAGAGTGATGAGGGTTGATGGTGGTGATTATGGCCACCCTATATGTTCTAGCGTCGATTTTGCTTCTTCCCTTTGGGGGTCTTCTAAGGATTCCATATTTTAGGGAAAATTTTGGGAGTTTTATGTACAGTTGAGAGAAAACGGAGGGAGAGAGCATAAGCCATTTTATAGTTCATATATTTAGTGAAACAAGATAATGAACAGAGATTACAGTGTGAACACAAGGGTTACAAGAATGAATAGTAAACCCTCAAGTGGCTCTTATAAGAGATAGTAGGATATAGTGATGACCCAGTGTTTTATGCCCGAACCCGACCTTAACCTCCCACCTATTAGCTAACTCTGAGGTTAGGCCACTTTGAGGTCGGGGATCAACTCTTGTGTCGGGCCATATGTACAACCACATGGCATCCAGGAAAGAAACATCATATCCTAACTGTGTAACCTACTTTTACCATGATTTTTGGTGGTCCTTATCTTCCTAGTTCAACTCAACTTCAGACGAAACACTTTGAATAAAACATAAACACCTTTACCCTATAAAGATAAGGATCACACATGGTTAAGTCCTTCTAGAACTCTATCACCAACACATATAAATACGTATCCAAGGCTCATTATTCAGATATGTTTTCATTGCTCCCAGTTCATAGCCTTACGCACTAAATTCCCTATCTGACTTAAGTATCGGAGAGGCAATGTGAACACACCTCGTTGCCTTTGTTATCAGAAGATCGTTCGTATTCGTCCACAACCTTTAAGCTCGACATTCTAGCATTCAGTTCAAGGTCTATCAGGTATGATTTTTGGTAGCATTATATAGTATTAGTAAGTACATGAATATAGAATATATATTTAAATATAGAATTGTGAACCACAGATATGATACTCCAAAAAATTTAAATTAAACATCTTTTTCATATTTAATTATGTAATTCTTGATAATATTATGGTTTTTTAATTGTAAGTTTGATGCTCAAATATTTGTTTCCATTCTGTTTGTATTTAAAGTGATGTTGGGCGAGTTGCACCTATTAGGACTCAATGTGAATGAGAAATGCATTCCTTTAAAGTGAAGAAAGTCAGGAGGTTTCCATCTTTCGATGGAGTATGCGCTACGGAGCTCATCCCGAGTATTTGTACTTGTTAAAGTTTGTGTCTTTTCGCTGGATTCATAGGAGGCGAGAAGAGTCTACTAGACACTCAAATATATTAGCTTGGACAGACATAAGCAAATACTTGTCTTTAGAGCCATGTAGGTCCAACACTCCTATATTAATCGATCAAATTCTAATAGAAGTTTTGAAAATCACAGTCGTGTTTCTTTTTCGTTTCAGTTAGGATATTATTGAAACTCTCAAAATATTAGTTTCAAACGGCCTACTTTAACATGTCATAACTTTTGCTATAATTGACTACTTCGCATGCCATTAATGCGTGAAAAACTAGGCCATGAGCACTTCGAAATGGTATTAAGAATGCAATATTTTGGTTTCATTTGATATCCCGACGAGTGCATCAAATTAGATTGTTAAAAAAAAAAAGGGCAAAATTTTGTGGGGTCATTTGACCCCATGTGGGTTCGCCCGTGTCCATATTTATCCCAATATTTAATTTGTTACACTCCATCAATGAGCATAAGAATTCGGAAAATTACACACTTGTGTTTTTTAATTTTCATTTCAATAATCAGGTGATATAAATTTTCTTTAAAAAATCAAGTGTCAACCCTCCACTCAACCGCACCTACTGCAGAAACTCTAATCCAAACCCCTTATCATCCCCACAGTCCCTAACCTCTCCACGAACGCCAATCGCTACTATTTCCCACCACCTACTATTGACGAAATCACCTCCCAAAGACAATCCCCACCCTTTGATTGGCCCCACAATACCATGTGGGCTCAAAATATGCAAGAAGCTTAGGTATTCGCGTAATGTGAATCCCAAAAAATTGAATATGATTGTCTTTTGTGGGGCCGATTATCGTGGACCTACATCCATGACTTTTCCACCCCATTCCGCCACTACTCCAGCTTAGGTCTTCTTTAATTGGACCAAAATTCGCTTATAGTTATTCTGCATATGTGAAGATGAAAGAGGTGGTGGATTTGAGGTAGTGAAGACGATTTGGATGGTGTCGACAGTGGTGGATTGGAGTGTGGTGGGGTGAGGTGAAGAGTGATTTTGATCATTTAGACCCCGTTTGTTTCTAATTTATGTAAAAATAAGAATGAAAAATATAGTCGTTATGGGTCCCATATAAAAGATAGAAATTTAAAAATAGTGGCTCGATATGATGGATAACGGTTATATTTTTCATTTTAATGGGGGAAGAATGAGAAACAAACGGGGGTTTAATTGAATCATTTGTAACCTATTAAAATATGTGAATGTAACTAATTATATAATTGTGACTCATAAATTGTGTCTTTTTTACTATGATTTGTGATTAGTACGTGACATTAACCATATATTATGTATTTAACTAAATTACAGTTCACAACATTTTATCAGAAATCATAAAATTTGGCCAATTGATTTTTGAAATTTTTTTACAAGTTTGCTATTTTTGAAATTGTATTTTTGCAATTTCTCTAAGAGTTACGTTAGTCATTTTATAATCTCATATTTTGCTGTATGGATCAGGTCTTCAACCCAACCTTTACTATTAATCATAAACCTAGTATAATATAGTAAGTTGAGAAATGGGTTACTTTGTATTGATGTATACACGAATTTTTCCCAAACCATTTTGTTTCCAGCCCATTTATTATAGCCCAAAGTTTTTGTCCATTAGCCACAGGAAAGTTGGATATTTCGTTAAAACCTTAAGCCCTAAAATTCTCGCACGGGAAGAATATATTGAATGAAACTCAAAATCTCGCCGGAGAAGAAAATTGTTCCATCTTTGGGATACCAACTGCCTGCCTGGTTTTTTCTTTCCATTAGGCGTCAACATTAACCTTCGATTTTCCCTGCTCCCTTTCAATTTCTTGTTATCTCATTCACCCTGATTTTGGTAATTTATTGTAGATTTGATAATTTTTTCATTTCTGCTACTAGTTCCAGAGAGAATAATGTCGCAACATTTCGTTCATTAGAACTGGCTAGGATTCTTGAAAAGATAGTAGTTTCCTTTGCTAAACTGAATTTATTCGACACGAGTATGGGATTTTATATTTTCCTCTGGATTTTTTAAGAGTATGGAAAATATTGAGATATTTTCCCCAATTGCACAAAAAATAAACAGTGAAAATTTACAGTTGAGAGAATGAAGATTGACATCTAATTATCTGATGCTAATTGTAATTCTCTTAGCTGGATTGATTTTTCCTTGGCTCTGTAACATCTACTCTTTTCATGAATTTTTACACAAGATAAGTTCAATTTCTATGGAATAATTTGCTTGCTGTGACCTTCAACTCCATTAAATGGCCAAGGATGTAGTCCATGTGGAAGGCATGGTAAAGAAAGAATGTGGATTCTAATGACTTTGTGCTTATATGGATTTTGATTTTTAAGTAAAACGCTGCACCAACACGATCCAGCACCAAGCGCAAAGTCAAGGAAGCATACCATTCTGAATTACCCTGCTAATTATTTTTTTGACAGGAAGGAAGTCAGAATTTTGGAGACATTAATCAAATTGCAAGTTCCAGGGAATTGTATTTTTCAAAAGAAATTACTGTCAATTTCAAGTAGGTGTCTATGCTAGTTTGAATGGTCTTTACGTGATTATCTAGCTTTGAACGTGTTTGACCCAAAGTTCTTCATTTCTCAGATTTCTCATCTTTTCTGTTATCAATTAATGCAAAAAAGAAGAATGTCAACGGAAATGGAATTTGATGCAAATGAAGAGAAGCTCAAGACTCTGTGCATATCCTCTCTCGATGAAGAAGAAGATGACGAAGCTCAAGTGGACGAAACAGATGACCCAGATTTATACAATGATGAAGATGATGATGACGAAGAACAAGTTCCTGTAACATTAGGATTTGTTGAGAAACCGAAAAATACTTGGTCACTACTCCGCCATTATTTCCCAAGCAAAGCTGGTGGCACTCCGGTAATTCTGCGGATTCTTTCTCACATGAGTTCTATACAAGATGTCATATAATCAAAATTTTCAAAATTGCAGCATGTTTGGCTTTGCTTAAACTTCATGTACAGTCATTCTGTCAAGAAAATCAGCTAAAATTGACTTTTAAGCACTGCCAAATTTCCCATCTGCTCAGTCTGTTTGCAGTGCTGAATTTCATATTACTTTCATAAATTTATATACTGATTTTATTTAGACTGCCAGTGTGCTTAAAATGTTGACCTTTTCTGTTCACCCCCACAGAAAAAAATGTTGCCAATACTGAACGCTGCCAAAAATGCAGCTAAATTTTATGATTTAGAAGCGGTAGAGATTGAATAAAGGAAGTATGGAGTTTTAATTTTGTTTTTCTGAAATGGGGATTACTTGTTTTACTGGTAACGTAGGCTTGGTTGGACCCGATTAATTTGCCTTCCGAGAAGTCTAGTCTTTGTGATTTTTGTGGGGAGCCATTGCAGTTTTTGCTACAGGTATTTAAAAGCTATAAATACAAAGCTAGTACACTCTGTTGTCTTCTTCTAGCATTCTCGCAGATTTATTCTTTAACGTTTATTGATTTCCCAGGTTTATGCACCACTAACAGAGGAATCAACATTTCACCGCACCCTGTTTGTTTTCATGTGCCCATCAATGGCTTGTCTTCTTCATGATCAACACGAGCAGTGGAAGCGGCATCCTGAGAAGCCATGCAGAAGGTATATCTTTGAGTATGGAGACTGCGTAAATAACTAATTATTTTCTGATCTTATCTTCTCATGGCAACTGAGTTTTGAAGTGTCAAGGTTTTCCGTTGTCAATTGCCACGCACAAATTCGTTTTATTCAAGCAATGCCCCCAGTGAAGATGGGACAGAGCAACATTTGACAGCTGGAGGTATCGTATCAATATAATTAACTTCTTAACAATGGTGAAGTATGTCAAGTTTGAATTGTTCATTTAAATCTGTTGATATCCCTTCTTTGACATTTGGCTGGACAACAATATTTACCCCCAGTGATGAAGGAAATTTTTGTGAACATTGGGAGCAGTTTTTGTAAACACATATATAATGTTAGTTAAGAAATATTTGGTACGTATAGGAGACATAAGCTAAAGTTTTATAATGTTATCACTTCTGAATTCAAATGTTATCATTTGATTGATTGATTTTACCTTACTCATCTCAGCGACACTTTGTAATTGGTGTGGTACATGGAAAGGGGATAAAGTCTGTAGTAGCTGCAGAAAAGCACGATATTGTTCTGGGAAACACCAGGTATTTTGATGAATTTTGCCTCTGTATACGTATAACTTAGCAACTTGAAGAGTTCCATGTTGACGAGGAGAAAACGGATATTTGCAGGCTGCACATTGGCGATCTGGTCATAGACTAGGGTGTACCCAGTTGCACACTTCTCTTGAATTATCTGAATCAGGTAGCCACCTACACGGTAATTTTATTCCTAGATTGCAACGTGACACGACTCATGAAAAGTTCCATAAATGTACTCATCTTATTAATTAAAGACTAGTGTACATATTTTATATTTCATGCGGACTGAAAACTTTATTTGCAAACAGCTGCGAGCAACTCTCTCTGGCCACAGTATGTGATCACAAATGAGGATGAATGTGAATTTGAGCATGAGATGTCTGATAGTGAATATTCTAATGCATTAGTTTCTGGAAATCGGGTGGATGAGTCAGTCAAGTCACTGATGAATGATTTTGCTGTGAGTGTACTTGTTTGTGGATTGTTAAGTTTTGGCTGAATGAATGGTCATTTCATTCTCAGCTTCATTGTACTGAATAGGGAGATGATGACAAGAGGAGTTGGGCATCTTTCCAAGAGATAATATCCCGTGCCCCTGAGCAAGTGTTGAGGTGATCACATGATTTAATTTGAAGGACATATATTTTTACTAACATTTACTTTTTTGTTGTCCACCAAGATCTTCTAGATTCTGTTCCTCAGTCTTCAGGTTGTAAGTTATTTCATTTTCTGAACAGGTATTGTAGATCTGCTAAAGCAAAAGCATTGTGGCCGGTGCATAGTGGTCGGCCATCAAGATCTGATATTCCTGCATGCAACTACTGTGGTGGCACTCGAGTTTTTGAGTTTCAGGTGCGAACTTGTTTATACCTCTGAACTTTTATTGCTAGTAACTGCTTGGTGGTTGTACAATCTGTGAAGTTCTGGAGTTAATGGTCCGACTTACTAAAACCTGTAAGAGCATCTCGAAGAGACATTTTAAAAGTGAGATGCTCTTTATTTTAAGGAGTCAAATCTTAAAATTAGGTTCCAAGACACTCTTTATTTTAACATTTTAAAATATAAACTCACTCTCTATTTATATTTTTATCAAAATTGCATTTAACAATATTGCAAGTTTCAATGTTCCACTACTTAAATTATTTGTATTATATTGAATATTTTAGATATTGACGTCCAAACAAAAGTATATGTTAATCGAAGACAATGAAAAACAATAAGCTCATGTTTGATGGGAATTAAAATCAGATTTTTAGTAGATTTTGATAAAAACTAATGATATGTGTGATTGAAAAGTTTTGGATTCCATGAAATGTGTGGTTAAAATTAATTGTTAATTTTGATGTAGATTAAGCCTATGTTTTATTCTCATTATGCCCACATAATAAAGAAAATTTTTCCTCTTTTCTAGGTTTTTTATTCTGAGTGTTAAAACGATAGATTTTTCATTTGCCAATAAGTTGGATCCACCCTATTCGATCAATAATTGGATTCTTGACTGTAGAAAGGTTCTGTGACATGGATGCCCAGCCCAACTCGGTCGGTTGGCCCACCTAAGAGATGATGAGATTCTCGATCGCTTTTTGTAATAGTAATTTTTTCGAGAATGTATAGTTAAAAGAGGGAAAAATATTAGGTTTACATGTAATATTATTTTATTGGAAAATTTGTGGTGAGAGAGAGAGAAATGAATTATAATTCAATGGGGGCAAATAAGGGCTAAATTTTGGATTTTAATTTCCACCAAATAGATAGTTGTTGGGAAAAGTAAAATAAAGAGTTTGTTAGAATATATAAATGATTTTACTCTTTAAATTTAAAGATGTTCTCTATTATGAACAGACAAGATGCTTTTTTTGAAAATAAAGAGTCTCTTCAAAATGTTCTAAGCCTTTGGTTCAAAAACCCCTAGTTAATTATTGAAAATTAAAAAATGGAAGAGAGAAGGATTGAATGTTTGCCTTACGATCACATTTGAAGCTCCGTTTCCTTTGGAACTTTTTAACATGATTTCACTAAAATTTAGTTGTACCACTTTTAGTTTAATTACGTGCTCACTTAGCTGTTCGTAAATTGTTAGTGCAGTTTGATTATTCCAATTCTCATAATCAGGCTGGACCAAAAGGGTGCCTAATGGTTATTGTTTGGATTTTATCTGCATCCTTGATATCCCTTCTGGACCTTAGGTTTATGCTGTGGTTGGTTCTATGATCTTAGGTTTTGCCGCAGCTACTTTATTACTTTGGGGTGCAAAATGATGTGGATTCTCTTGATTGGGCAACAATTGTTGTTTACACATGTGAGGCTTCATGTAAAGGAGACGAGGGTTACAAAGAAGAATTCGCCTGGGTTCAACTTGCGTCCCAATCAGCACCTTAAAGATAAAAACTCCCCTCGGAAGTATAGAAATGAAAATCAGGTTGCAAAGAGGAAATTTCTCCGGGTTAACTTGTGTAAGAATGAAAATGGATCACCTTTGTCATTCATGAAAAAAGCAAATTCGGCATCTTTTAAGTTAGCGACAGTTTTTACTGTAGTTGTTTCTGGATAATGATTTAACGTGAGATTGTTGTTATACTTTTGTTAAATTTCCAGCAATTTCACAGTGTCAGTTTCTCCCACGTAGTGGTTGTTTGAAAGTGTTTTTGGATGCTTGTAAGAATTCTAATAGCTTGATATATCAGTTTGGTCCGGTAACTTGCACACAAAACTGCTCACTAAAGTATGTTTTCAACAGTGAAAATAATTTTTATCTGACGTTTTGGAAAGGATTACTGAATTAGCATTACAGAGTCGATGAATACTAGAGTGAATTGTTATGACAGTGCCTGAACATAAATAGCACTACAGAGTCGGGAAAATGTAATGCCACTGATGATAGGGAATGCACAAGGATCTGATTTGTGATGAGGCTGTGAATCGCACAGACCTGTTGCCTTGAGTCCTTGATGTACATTTTCCGTCAACACATTTGATATATAGATAATTAGATATCTTTGATATACCCACCTCGTCATTCTCCCATCTTCACATTTACGCCAATTGGGGAGTCACCAACGTTTCATGATTGACTAGAATATTGGAGTTGCCACCTGACATATCGCTACCAAATGCTATACCTGAGCCCGAAGAGTACTCCACCTGAACTCTTAGAATGTGAAACATTTGTGGTTGTTTTGTTGTATGCAATTCCATACTCACCCCAACTGCTTTTAAGTGCAATTCTCGACGCAAAAGTCCTCGAAGAATCTGAAATTAACATTTCATATTTTACACATGCAAAAGGACCAATGCCTAATAACATGGAGGCAATAAACAACAAACAAAGCCTCGTTGTGGGGAAAAAGAGGGCTACATTGTATCCATTGTTTCTATTTGTTCAACTCGGGAAAATAGTAGTGTTATTCAATTGTTATTACTGAACAGATGCCAGTGACAATTATACTAATAGAAAGAGTAGTGATATAAGTACAGGAAGCCATTACAGGAGCAATACAGATTTTCAAATTTTGATGACGTGGCAGACTTTAAAAAAAAAAAAAAAAAAAAAAAAAAAAAAAAAAAAAAAAAAAAAAAAAAAAGGGGGGGGGGCCAAACAAAAAAAAGAAAACAAAAACGCGGGAGGGCACAGCATTTCAGCCCACTCTTCTCCCAAAAGTGGCATCGACTCCCGCCACTGACGACTCACCCGTGTCGTCCGACCAAAATTCCGGGTGAAGTGACCGGCGCATCTCCGAGCATTTTCCGATGCTATTCTCATCAAGAACTCCAAAATCTTCAGTCACCCAAAATGGCAGACAAAGGTATTGTTTCATCTTCTTTGTTGGGTTGTCAATGAGTCCAAAATCTGTAGTCACCAAACCCTCTTTCCCTTTACCCAGAAAACAATCCCTTTTTATTACTCGTTTCATTCTCGCATCTTCGTTGATTTCGAGTTTTTCTCCGGCACAAAATATAAATGTTGCTTACATAAATTCTTCCCGTTTGCGCGTTTCGTTGTATGGTTACTTTTTTGCTTTATTGAGTGGGTAAGCAATTAAGTGGGCAGCAATGGAGGAGGAGTAATCCCTCGTTTATGTTGAGTTTTAATTAACTACAAGGGCAGCAATTAAGGGTTGCGTCATTTGAAGGAGTTTTCCCTGCTTTATGTTGTATCAAACATGGCTAAATAAGAAATAGTAGGGAAAAAATTGAAAGATAAGAAGATACCAAACGTAACTTACCAAGCGTAATCTGCTATAGTCGAAATGATCTTGAAGTCTTTAACAGTAATAGTTTTTTAGGCGTGGAGAAAGGACTCGAGAACTGATAATTTCACTCCTTGAGTAAATGAAAGTTGTATCCTTGTTGAGTGCGGTCATCTTCAGTCTACTGTTCGACTCTTTAAAGGCTAAGCGAGTAAAAAACTAAAAACTGGAGTGTCTATAAGATTAGAAAAGAATGACTTATGGAATAGAAAGTATGAGGAAAGACATTTCCAGTTCTTGTAAAATAAGAGCAATTAAAAAAAAAAAAATCTAAAAGTGAGTTCTAAATTTTAGAAATTTTAACTGTCTGCTAAATTAAAATTCGTGCTGAATTTGTTTTATTATTTCCCTGCTAAGTCACATTCCCATAAAATTTCGTGGTTAAAGATCATGAAGATCACACTAAATTAACCTCTTTCAATGGTTTAATCATATAGAGAAACCACCTGGGTTTTCAAAAATGATGTGTCTCAAATATTGGGATTCAAATTAAATTGAGTAGAATGGGCTTTGATTCGATATTCATTTGGCTGTACATGATATTGCAATTTTGATTATATCTGTACATATATATTTTTGATTATCTCTGTACTTATAAATCTCTCATTTTTTTACTCTATTCAGGAAAAGAAATTATGGAAGATGAGAATCAAGATGTGTTGGCTGACTGTGACAGCGAGAATATCCAGCATAATTTGAACATATTGGACAATGAAAATGTAGCAGGAGATGTTGCCTCGGAGCCTGAGGTAGGCATGACGTTTAATGATGAGAAAGAAATGTTGGAGTTCTACAAAAGATATGCTTACGCTGTAGGCTTTCCAGTTCGAAAAAGGAATTCGAAAAAAGGTGATGATGGAGTTATGAGATACGTGACTTTCACATGTAGTCGCGAAGGGCGAAAGAATTATGCTACAGGCGGTTCATTGAAGCCGCAACCAACAAGTCAGACTGATTGCAAAGCAAGAATATCTGCGTCCTTAGATAATCTTGGAGTTTGGAGAATTAACAAAGTGTACCTTGATTATAATCATAAGACAAGTCCTTCAAAGTCTAGATTGTACCGATGCAATCGAATTTTGAGTGCGAGTGTGAAGCGAAAACTCCAAGTGAATGATATGGCAGGAATTCCCTTACACAAGAGCTACAACTCCGCAGTTGTGGAAGCAAGTGGGTATGAGAATACGACTTTTGTGGAGAGAGATTGTCGGAACTATGTTGACCAAGAGAGACGATTACGCCTTGGAGAAGAAGATGTCATTGCATTACAGGCGTACTTTTCAAAGATGCAGGCAAGGTGCTCAGGATTTTTTTTTTAGTATGGATTTAGATGGTGAGTCACGACTAAAGAATGTTTTCTGGGCAGATAACAGATGCAGGCAAGCTTACAAAGAATTTGGTGATGTGGTCACTTTTGACACCACGTATATAACAAATAAGTACGACATGCCCTTCGCCCTCTTTGTTGGGGTGAATCATCATGGACAAAGTACACTACTCGGTTGTAGGTTGTTATCGAATGAAGAAACAGGGACTTTTGTGTGGTTATTTAGGACGTGGCTTGAGTGCATGCATGGTGAAGCACCTAGAGGGATCATTACTGATCAAGATCGGGCAATGCAAAATGCCATTGAAATAGTTTTTCCGAAAATGAAGCACAGATGGTGTCTTTGGCACATTATGAAGAAACTGCCAAAAAAGTTTGGCTACCACAGTCAAAAGAGCTCAATTTTTGCTGCTATACATGGGTTGGTGTATGACTCAGATATTGTTGACGAATTCGAAGAAGGTTGGAGATCGATGCTTGATACATATGACTTACATGATAATGATTAGTTATCGAGATTGTATGAGAATAGGAATCGATGGGTTCCATGTTATTTGAAAACTACATTCTGGGCAGAGATGTCAACAATCCAATGATCTGAGAGTATGAATGCATTTTTTGATGGGTACGTGCATTCAAAGACTTCGTTGAAGCAGTTCGTGGAACAATATGAAAGAGCACTGAGAAGTAAAGTTGAGAAAGAGTTCCAGGCCGATTTCAGGTCATTTTCCCAAATGGTGCCCTGTGCAACGGCATTTGAAATGGAAAAACAATTTCAAGCAGTATACACCATTCCAAAGTTCAAGGAAGTTCAACAAGAGTTCATTGGGAAAGTATACTGTGACATCGTATCTGAAAATACCAATGATCATTTTTGGACGACCTACGATGTGCGGGAACATGTTGTATATCAGGAACATACGAAGAAGAAAACTTTTCACGTGTCACTTCGAAAGGAGTCATGCGAGTTGATTTGTAGTTGTCACCTATTTGAGTTTCGAGGAATCATTTGCAGGCATGCGATCGCAATATTGATTCGTAATGACATTACGACGATGCCAGATAGGTACATACTCAGGAGGTGGAGAAGAGATGTCAGTAGAGCCCACACAAGGGTTGCAGTAAATTATGATGGATTGGTGAGTACCCCCGAACAGTTGAGGTATGATGACATGTGTCGGGCTTTTTCAGAGGTCACAGATCTCACAGCAAATGATGACGGTTGGACCTGTACTATAATGGATCGGATAAAATCTCAAGCATCAGATTTGCGGATGTCAATATCGAGTATCCGAAACGCTGGCCGTTTGCAAAATATGACAAACATGGGCTCGACTTGTAACGATTCACTGAACACTAGCACCACCAGCATATTAGACCCTGTATCATCGAGCAGAAAGGGTGCGCCTACGAAACGCCGACGGAAGGGTCCATTGGAAAAGGTAATTTTCGAAATTATTTTTATGGAAATTTGCATGCACAAAATGATTATTTTTATTGCTCAACATCCAGGTGACTTCATTGTCAAACAAGGGGAAAAAATCGAGAGCTAGGCCTCGTTGTACAAAAGAGGCAATACCAACTGTCCAGGCGTCTCAACATTCTCAGAGTTCTAGGTCGTCACCCTTATCATCGTCACAAAACCTACTGGTGAGTAAATTGTTTTAGGTCCGCTACACGATCAAAGTTGCTTAAAATTGTGTTTTTCCATGTAGGCTTACAATGCTAGTCAGACGTTGCCACCAACAAATGTCATAATCAATGCTCAAGGTAATATATTGCTTGGGTTTCGTATGTATTTATGTATGATAATTTCGTATATTGTGACATTGTAACTGTTTATCTTTTCATTTAGGTGATGTCATGCCAAACTACTCTCAACATTTGGCCAGTGAAGGTTCCACAGGCTTCTTTTGACTGGTGGCCATGGAGGGGAGGAAAAGATTATTGCAACTTTTTGATCGAACGGAGTTTTGGTCTCAAGTTTTGATCGAATGAAGAAAAATATTGGCACTGGAATTAATTCATTTTGGTGATCTATAGCTTGGTTTATGTTAGCAGTCACACTACTTTATAGAATTTTGATGTTGCAAGTTTTTGACAGTTCATAAGCCTATTGACAGTTCTTCCTATTATGCTTTGTTTATGTTAAAACTCATACTAAATTCATGTGTTGCTTGTCGGATTCAATGTTCTTTATCTGTTGTGTCTTTTACTAGACTTTTACAATGCTTTTATGCTTCAAGTTTTTTCTGAATTTATGCATTTGTAGGCTTCTGATGGCACAGATTATTTAACACAAATTGTGTTGTTGAACAATTGGTCACTGCCATATTGTTGCGTTCTTGCTGCCCCAAATTTTTTTTTATCTATGACCTAATCCAGGCAAGGTCACTGCCATCTTTTTGGACAAATATTGATCCCAAGATTGCTTACTTCAGTGGCTGAATGACAGTAACGCGCGCCAATGCGAGGTTTATTTATTGATGTCCGGTTATTTTTTTTTGGTGTTGTTAGACATCGGTTGTGAATTGGGATAGTTTTGTGAAAACTTGTAGTGTAGTTCAAGAAACTCCAGCCCACCAAGAAAATGCCTTTTGCTATGGCTCGTAGGAGGGTTCTTAATGAGCATAGCTTGGACGTACATAACTGCAGAAGAATTGGTTTCTTTACTGGTTGCATTTGGTAATATTCTTGGAATTAGCCCTTCATTTTTAGGGCTCACGGTACTTGCGTGGGGTAATTCAGTAGGGGACTTGATATCCAACTTGACTATGGCAATTAAAGGTGGTCCAGATGGAGCCCAGATTGAAGTATCCGGGTGCTATGCGGGTCCACTTTTCAATAAATTGGTGGGTTTGGGATTGTCACTCTTACTTGCTTCATGGTCAGAATATCCATCAAGTTACGTGATTCCAAGGGATTCTGATTTGTATGAAACCATAGGGTTCTTTATTGGAGGATTATTGTGGGCTCTTGTGGTTTTGCCAAAGAGGAACATGCAGCTGGATAAATGTTTAGGTATTGGCCTCTTGGCCATATACTTGTGCTTTCTATTCACGAGGCTTGTAAAGGGTTCAGGATTGCTCAAAATTGACTAGAAACTTTGAAGAAATGGCCATTTGCTTGAAGAGTTGGAAGGAAAGCTTTCAAGCTTTCTTGTAGCTGGAGCTACTCGAGAATCTTGAAGGATGTTTGAAATCCAAGGTTTAGCAGCTACTCTCATTAATATATTCGTGATTCTGGAAGTTTTGGCTCTCCATCTGGGGCAGACGGCAGCTGAGACAAATTATTGCAAGCATTCTGTGTACCACACCATTTTTGCTGCCTATTTTAATTTTTTCACTTATAGAATGTGTTATTTTCTTTGCTAAATTGAGAGGAAGAGAGATGAACGGCTGTTGTAGGATTTAGTTATAAAGAATTTGTTTGAACAATGCATAGATGGTTAAATTTTGCTGCTGAAATACACTTGTTGAAAATAATGTTTTCCTAAATTTGTTCAGATTGTAATCATACCATGAATTATATGCTACAAATTTATGATTCTATTTCTAATGGATATGGCTGTCGATTGTGAATTTAGCATCATCTCTGATATCCTGTCGCCCTTCTTCCTCTGCGGAACTCTAGTAGTCCCTTCCTACATTAAAAAAATTCAGTGGATGAAATATTAACTCTATTTTATGCATACAAAGCGCAAGGGAGTTGGAGGTGTTTCTGTGATTTGTCTCAGCTGTCCTAATGTTAATGTATGACTCTTCAGAAGGTTGGATGATCACACTAGTCTACCATAAAGTTAAACAATTCAACCGAGATGTTTGCAAACAAAAAAGAGAAGAAGTCTATCATAAAGTTGTAGCAACCATGACATATATTACAACAAACCGAATATGAATCATGTAAAACGATCGAACAATTTTGATAAGATTATCCATACATCTTACAGCCTACAGCGACCAAGTTCAACTACAGCCTACAGCTTACATATACATCCATAAAGCAACTTCAAATAAACCGTTCAACTTGAACCCTTCCCTTTCCCATTGCACTTCAGTGTGCCTTTTCCCTTGCTAAAACTCAAGTGCATTGATATGTCCACACCTCGTTTCTCGCTAATTCGAGCTAGACTGTCAAAGAGTCTTGGCAACTCTTCATCTTCAACATTCGACTCATGATTCACCGCTTCGTTAATGGAACTTGACTCCCCGCTTAGAAGATCTTCGTTCACCCAGTCAAAATATCCACAATCGTTACTACAAGTGAAGAACAATCGGCCTTTGTTATGAGTATCCCGTTCAACCTCAAAACACTTTCGATATCCATGTTTACATGAAGGACATCGGCGCTTTGTTTGGCATTCTCCAAAGTAGTGAGTACTGCTTCTGCAACTATGACAAACTCCTAAATTCCTTCCTCTCATTGTAGTCAATCCAGGCTGCAAAAACAAGTAAAGAAAGATGAATTCATCTCAATTACAAAATCCCACATCAACTAATAAACTGTATTCAATCTCAATTGCCAACATTAACACAATACCAATGTAAAATTTAAGCACTATAGGGAGGAGTAACGAGAAAGGTTAGGAAAGATATTCGGAAGGAAAGCATCCCTCATCAGTCTTCACTCTAGCTATCCAAGAACTCGCTTTCTTGTATTCTCCTTTTTCCTTTTTTTACTAGATTCATTTCAACATTTGATGAAACACTTAATGCCGCGTTCCCATTACACATAAATAAACTACAAACAAAATCTCATATGCAAGGCATTACCACAAGATTCACATCAATAACAGAAGGGGGAAAGAAATACAGTTTAGGCATTACCAGCCACATGAGCTTACGAGCATATTCATAATGTGAAACTTTCAGAACCAAAACGAAATCAATAATAGACGGCGTACTCAAAAATTTTATGTTGAAATCCATGTAGCATTTTCATAATTGAAACTTTCAGAACCAAAACGAGGCGTACTAAAATTTTTTATGTTGAAATCCATGTACAATACCAGAAACAAAACTTCTTAGCGTGGCAATGGTGGGGGGCGACTACGGCTTCGAATATTCTCGCTGAATGCAGCGTCGATTTTCCTGTTCGCTGCCAGACTACGCTTCACGTAGCGACAGGAACAACGTTCTAGGTGAATGGAGAGGAAATTTCGCGGGTGATTTGGAAGAAATGGGGAAGAAATTTCCTTGGATGATTTGGGGGAAATGGAAGAGACGCCGGATTTGGGGGAAATGGGAAAACGCCTCAAACCATCTGGGTAATGTTATTCAGGGTTTTGTTCCTCGGTTTTGTTTGGCTTTTTATTCAGGGTTTTGTTTGGCTTTTTTTTTTTATTCATTTCAAGTATTGAAGACGTCATTCAATTTTCGAAATTCTGTACGCATTCTGTGATGACTTCCCTGTACTTGTATCATTTTTCTAATAGAAAAGCCCCAAACTTAGAAGAGGATCCTAATTTTTGGGTCAACATGCATAAAATTTAGAGTCAAAGGCACCAATCTCCAACAGTGAAGATTCAAAATTTATCCCACAGCTTAGTCGAACATCACATCTTGTACTAGCATTTTGACCGACTATATAAAAAAACATACAGGTAATTCAATACGTCTAGATTTCAAGTCACCTAGTACTATCCCACTCGTACAACCGGTTGTCCATGTATTATGAAGGCACAACAAACTGAATAGGACAAACTGACAATAATAAGAAGCCATTGTAGGATTTGATTTTAACTTTAATGCATCTAATCCTTCATTTCAAACATGTTAGAAGTGGACAAAGAGCAATACATAACAAAGTTATGATCCACATCTTTCCAGCCCTGGAATACATTATGCAATTAGATAGTGACTGATGGATTATTGGCTGCTTAAATAGAATACCACCACTCATTGTCTCATACCAACAGGGCGTAAGAGAGGAACTTTCTGTGTTTTAGAATTATAAGCTGTGAACCTAGAATAATGGCATTTTTTCCAGAAAATGTGTGAGATGGCTGATAAGATTGATGGTTCGATTAAGCCACCTGCCTGCTGGAACATAGAGCTGGGCACCGCCCTTGTCAGCAAAAGATTGAAGATAAAAAATGGGATTCTTAAATGCTAAAGTGTTTAGTGTCTTCCTATTGCCAACAGCCCCAAATTCCGAGACGGACACGCTATCGGGCCTGGGTAATTGCATTCTCCATTGTATTCTGCAGCATGGTTCAATCACTTCAACGTTACAAGCAAAAGCAGGACTACCTGAAAAGAATGGAGCCAAAAATAAAGAGGTAAAAAGCAATCCATCAACAGATCAACATTTATTTGAATTAGAATCTTGTCTGCTTTTATGCAGGGCTTTTATTTGGTGACAAATTCCACCTGCGGTTGATGCATTATGCATAAGCAAAACCTTAATGAACAGCATGCCAGATTAGATTTATATTAGACTATAATGCATTTAGTTATTAATTGAAAGTAAACTACAAAAATTAGTTTATATCTGGGCAATGAGAAACACAGAAGAGGCAGCATTCTTAGTTTTGAAAACCGATGATCACCTTGGTGAAGATCGCGGACGGTTCTCTTATTTTGATATTGATCCTGTGCTCTTGCTATATAGTACGGAGTTAGCATATAAAGCTGGTGCTTTGTCTCCTCCACTACAGGAGGTGCCCCGGATAAGCTACTGCTGGCAGTGTTTAGAACGCTCACTACCTCTCAAAAGCAGGGCTTTAAGCCTCGATGGGTCTTGAGATGCCAATCTCAATACAAACCACTAAAATAATTCAAAAGTGTTGGAAGAAAATGGGTCGCCCATATGGGTTGATCCGACCTGATTTGCATGGAAATGAAATATGGAGGGAGGAGTTGAAAATTGAATTTGAAAAAAAATTAACTCCCTCAATCTATAACTTCCATGTATAT